AGACAGATAAGTCAATTCTTGACACTTTTCCACAAAGACCAGACCATCTGGACACTTTGTATTTGTAACAGGTGCTTCTGGGACTTAGAGCCTAATTCTGGCCCCGATTCCGTTCTGTATGGGTGACTCTGTCGCTCTGTGCAATTGTGCATTGCATTAATTGAAGGGACTCAGAAGGGCCAAGTACAGTAATTAGTCAGTTGGTCATGCAGAAAAGAGACCAGTGGCTTAGTGCCACTGAATGCTGCATGCACAGATGTACAGTACCATCAACTTTTGCTCTCTGCGGTACTCTGCTAATCCTTGGCAGGTAGAGCCAAGATCTGTCTTAGTCCAGGTTTCCAGTCTCCTAGAAGCAACAACATAAATTTATGTCCCACTGGGAACAGAAAATGGGGAGTTCGACTGACCTAAAAAAGAAGCCATATCAGCATAAAATTGTCATAGTAGTAAAACTACCAGATGGGCCAAATATGCTAGTTAGATTTTTAGATTCTAGTATGAGGCTTTAGATTTATCTAACAGCGGGTGGCATATGCAATAGAAGCTATGAAACGTGTATGATTCCAATTTTAGGAGTTTATTTTTTTGAAAAGTTAGGTAACTAAAAATTATATAACATTACTTAAAACATAATACACCTACTATGCTACTTATTTCCATTGAAAAGTACAGCTAAGTGTGGTTGATGGAGATATTCTAAAGGGATAAAAAGGAAACTGGATTGTACCTGTTCTTCATCTGACTTATAGCAGAGACTTGAATACTTTTGCATTTGTGGTAAATGTCATGCCTGCTATAGTGTGTTCATTGAGAGTGGGTTTCTTTAAAATATGAAAATGATTTGATAGTTTCAATTCACTATCAATTCACTACCATGTAAAGTTCGGAGACTGAATATTTATTTTGAAAAGTAGAATCATTGCTTTCTAGTCAGAACAAACTTTATTTACTTTTATTTATTTATTTATTTTTGAGGCAGGGGGTGTTACTTGTAAACTGAAATGTTAGTTTGCTTAGGCCAGTATGTTCACAATTATGTTTACATACCTTCTACATCTGGAGTCACAGAATCACAAAATGGTTAAGGCTGGAAGGGACCTCTAGGGATCATCTAGTCCAACCTCCCTGCTCCAGCAGGGTCACCTAGAGCACATGGCACAGGGCGGCACCCAGGCGGGTTTTGAAGATCTCCAGAGAAGGAGACTCCGCAACCTCTTTGGGCAGTCTGTTCCAGGGTCTGTCACTCTCAAAGGAAAGTTCTTCCTTGTATGGAGATGGAGTTATCTACACCTTAAATTTCAATGAGTTGATGAACTCTCACTTTTGTCACCCTAGGGCTCAATAAAGGAAAGGATTACTCATAGTTGAAAAATGAGATGCAAGCTTATATATTTTTTTTAAGTTATTGTTTACTTGATCATTTTTAGAATCTTTTTAGAATCTTTTTATATTTCTTAGGATAAACAAAAAGTATTAGGATCACAGAGCTATCATACATGAATACTTGAGCAAAACCTAATTTTATTAAAATAAAGAATAATATTTCAATATAGCCAATAATTTTATATTTTCTGATAAATTTTGCTCTCTGTTCTTGTGCCTAATACTTTGACTACAATAATCACTATTCCATTAATGAGAAAATAATGTTGAGACTATCCAGAAGAGTAAATGCCAGGGTAACTGTAGCTGCATTATTTTACTCCCATTTTGAAGTGGCTTCATACAATTCTCCAATCTCCAGGGTCAGACTATCTTTTCCCTTCCTATGCAGGATCAAGAAAAATCAGTAGCGAAGGAGCCAGGAGAAATCCTGAAGTGCAAATATTGCCTTATATTTTGTCACTTCTTATCACTTTGTCACTTCCCACAACATACAGCTTTTTTTCTAATACTGTGTCCCTAAATTATGAGAGGAAATGGTTTACATGTCAAAATGGCCAGTGTTACTTAAAACTTTACATTTACCATGAAAACACCCGCAACTGTTTATCATTTGGTACTAATTTAGGTTAAATATTTTTATATAATCACTGTGACATTTTTAAGGGAACAGAAAATTGTTTGGACTATAATGTTCAGACTTATGTTATTGATAAGCATGGAAAAAAATAGATTAAAATTATTCCTGAGGAGTTATAGTGTGAAAAAGAGCTGGGAAAGAGGCATGAACCCAAGATACTGATCTTGATTGATATTGCAGGTTTCAGCATTACTCATCTCCTCTGCCTATTTAATTAGTGTGAGCAGGCAGGGAAATCAAATATCCTGGAGAAAAGGATTTAGAGGGCTGATCATCCTGCAAAATTTCAGTGGGAGTATGTTCAGTATATTCATCTCCTGGGAATACTGAGCATCGTATGTGGCATATTTTAGCTTCCTTCCCAATTAACATAAAGAAGGGAGCTGACAGACAGCACAAACAGATGATGCGATGTGTGCAGAGATTTAGACAAAACTGACAAATCTCATTTTAAGCTCACTGGACTTGAAAGTCCACCGCTTTTTTTAATATCCTGAGCACATAGTGTATGATTGAAAAAAAAAAAAAAAAGTATCAGTTACTGCAATCAGATAACAAATATTGTGAAATGGTTTATACTTCAGCTGTAATGCAGTATTCCTCTGGCTCAAAAGTTAATGAGGAATGGACAAGGTTCTGCTATAATCTGAGCATGGTTCTAAAGTAATTCATTCTACTATTTAAAGAAAGCAAAAATGGTTGTCACGGAATGACAAGATTTTTTTTGAGTCAGGAACAGGGAAATTGTCTGGGGGAAATAAAGATTGCAATTAGCCTGCTGTCATGCTCTTTCCTTCTTTAAAAAAAATCTTTCCATGTACTTGTTGCTATATTTACTTTCATTTTCACTCTTCTAAATACTAATCCTAGCCTAATTTTATAATATAAAACTATGTTTTGTTGTATATGTTGAATTTATGCAATTTAGGAATAATTGTAAATTAAGTTAACCCCAAATTTATACAGAAATAGCTGGACATAAAAGTTCACCTTAAAAAGTTTATGAGAATAAGTATATAGAGAGACATGTATATCTATTATATATGTATTTCAGTCATTGATACCCATGGCCTGAGCCATTCTGCCAGGTGGACAGTGATGTTTTAGATCAACATTGCAAATGAAGGAAAATAAAAAATGGTTGAGAAGTACATAGACGTCTGGCTAAGCTAGGGACTAACTAGGCTGGGCAGTCGTACTCTTCTAGATGCCTCAGTTTGCTTCCCGATGCACCCATAGGTGGTGATGACCATGCCCCCCATTGTCGCGTCACTGACGCCACACATTCCAAAATGACGTCACCGCGGATAACCCTTCCTCTTCGCTCTCCCAGGAGATACCAGATGGCAGGCTGATCGAAGGGCAGCACATCAGTGAGTCCCGTATGATTTCCTTCATCTGTCCTAATTTTGTTGATGGATACTCCAAAGACAAAATGTAGCTCTCTGAGCATCTGAAGAGTTGTTAATTGTACATATGTGCATATCCATTTAATGTATAAATTACATGACCTAATTCTTTATTCCTTCCTAAAGCCTGTGATATCTAACACGTCTAATATTATAGTATTGTCTTAAATATAGATACTAAGCTTTTAAAATCCTGCTTAGCCTTTACTTTTACTCTACCCCAAACACTCTCCTGTTCTATCAAAAGGGTAGGATGAGGCACAAACTAAAAAAAAAAAATGTTAATTGTACCTTTTCTTGGTTATAAAATTGGAGTGTAAATAGAAAAAAATCACTATGTCTAACTCTGAATTTGGATATTTGAAAACATTTAGATTTATATCTTATCCATATCTATTTCTCTGAAGGAAAAAGTAAGTTTAAATTCAAGCCCATTCCTGAATCAAGATTGTTATAATAAAAACAACACTAATAACAAATTCAGTTCTAAGTAGATTGACAGTCCAGTAACTAAGCTGATGATTAAAAAAAACTTATTAAAAAAAAGAAAAAAATAAAGAATAAAGAGATAAAATAAGAAGTAAAGGTACATATCTTTATATGTATATCCAGAACACAACATGGTTTCCTTCATGAGAGAATGTCCTGGAAAAGCTTGCTATATAGGATACTCTGTCCAAATTTTCTGATTTTCACCGGAAATATACCTTCTTTTTCTTAGGAAGATTATTTCACCTAGTAATTAAATCCATCACCTAGGAGGAGTAATCAGATATTTTACAGATACAAAGCATCCATAGTAACATGTAGTGTTAAGGTTCTGATAAGGCTTGTCTAGATAAAGCAGAGACTAAGTATAGATTTTATTTGGGCATTATGAGCTGCTGAAATTTAGTGAAATTGGCAGCCACGGAAAAATATGTTTTAAAGAGCTTGTATAGAGCTTAATATTTGGAATTTGTCATGTGGACAAAAATAGAAAGACCAATTAATTTATTTTATATTTCTTACATTTGAGCAACCTCCACTGCAGCTACATGCCCAGTGCATAAAATATGGTCTAATTCTCTGTCTGTATTGATGTCCACATAAAGCAGAGAAAGGGAGAAAATAAAAATAGTGTGCATATGCAGCTGTAAAGCATTCCAATAGCTGAGTGCAGCTAAATTAGTATAGCACTTTACAGATCTTGTATTTTAAAACTGGAAAAGTTCACAACTTCGTGCATTTGGATCCTAGCTTTTAGTATATAAAAGCAACATTGTAGATCAGTTAATCATGAACAGCAGAATTTTTCAAAGTAGAATCCGTAATTTGCTCACAGAGTATGGTATGGAATCCGCTCTTTTAAATGTCATTTCATCTTTATTCTGTCAAACATGAGAATTGTTTTACCAAGATTTTTGTTTCATAGCTAGTGCTATATTTTTCATTCTGTGTTTTCTTCTGAGGAGGGGCTGATGGAGACTTCAACTCCGTTCTCAATTCAATGATACCTGAACAAAACAGGGGGCATCTGTTTTGCACCAGAGCAAACCATCCAAAGGGTGCATCCAAGTGACAAAATGATTGACTCAAAGGACGGGCACTTTTTAACCAGCAGCAGCAGTTTACCCCTGCTGCCCTCTTCTGCCACCACCTCTCAAGGGACAGAATTCAACCAAACACTCAGGAAGGAGAATCAGACCCTTCGAGAAGAGAATCAAATCCTTCGGCAAGAAAACAGAGCTTTCCGAGTGGAGAACAAAGCCTTTCACCAGGAGAATCAAATTATTCGAGGAGAGAACAAAGCTCTTTGGGAAGAGAATAAAATCCTGCAAGAGAAGCATGCAGAGTCTTCAGAAGAACCAAAGCACCTTGAAAAACAGGAAAAGGCCCTCAGGCAACAGAATAAAGCCCTCAGAGAAGAGATTAAGGCTCTCAAAGGACAAGAAATAGCATTTGCAATGGAGGAAAAAGCTCTTCAGGAAGAGATTATAGCCTTATGGGAAGAAAACAAGGCCTTCCAGGAGCAGATCAAGGCTCTCCGAAAGGATAATAAAGCCATTCAGGAAGAGGAGAAAGCTCTTCGTGAAGAAAAAAATGCCCTCAGTGAGGAGAAATTTGCACTCCAAGAGGAGAACAAGGCCCTCCAAGTGGAGAAAAAAGCCCTAGAAAGTGAGGGAAAAGCTCTCCAAGAAGAGAACAAAGTGCTCCATGAATGGAATAAGATGCTTCAAGAGGAGGAATAAAGCAAAGAAGAGAATCAGATGCCTAGGGAGACTTAACAGGAGGAGTACAGACTTCACAATCAAGGGCAGAAGTTTTCACGTAAGCCAAATATTCTAGAGAACATCAGAACACCAATAAGGACTAATGGAGAAAAACAGGTACCAAGTAGTCTGACAGGCTTAATGCCAAGACCCAAGAAGTCTGACTGTGCTGAAACAAGGGTATTGGTATCTTTGGTCCCTGAAGGCTAATAAACTACTGCTGGCAACACCTAATGCATAGCTGCAGATGTCTGCTTTGTTCAGAGTTTAAATATCATAGAAAACAAGTTTCCAAAGTGTTTCAAAATCTTAGCTGAACTGTTTTTTTCCACTAGAACACTGAACAATATTCACAGGAGGAGAATATTCACGTTATAAACTTTGAGGTCGTATATAGGTGAGGCTCTGTCAGACTCCCAAATTCTGTATGTGGTCTTCACTGGTAAAATACTGTGTTTCTGGAAACAGGTTGTATGAAACACTTTCAGAAAATGATAATGAATAAGTGAACTCTAGCATCCTTTAATGCCAAGATTTTCCTCAAAAGACTAAGTTATAACATGAATTAACACAAATTACATGAAAAAGCCCTCTTTCTGCTAAAGAAAGAACAGGAAGCAAGTCTGAGCACTCTCTCTCTTCCTGACCATCTGCACTGCTACTTTTCCCTGCTTCCATTCTGTACTTCTCCAACAGACTATTTCAAGGGCAGTATGTATGCATAGTTCCAGGTTGCCCTGCTCCTTGTGAAACTGGCAGCTGTGCCAGGGTTTGGCTTCTTTCATCTCATCTGTTTCTCTTAATATCATCACCTCTTTGAAAGTGCATGTAAGCACCTAAACCGTCACCCAGACAACAGGTGTTTTCCTACATCTGACTATCCTAATTGGTGATATCATGCAGTTCATAGTCTCCAGGACTAATTAGTGCCATTTCAAACAGTTCATCACAATTTCCATGGCATGGAGGCCCAGATCAAACCATTATGTCCTTCTCCCTTTGACAGCATTCACAAAGTGTTGGTCATTACAAGATAGCACTCAGAAGCAGCAGAACAACTCCATTAACCCCATGGCTCTCTGACAACAATTTCCAATTTCTAAACATTGTTGTCAGGTTTTTACAGGGTCCTGCCATGATTCCAGTATTTCACCTCAGTTCAGTGTCAAGACATGAGTCCCTTTTAGCAAGAAAAGTGCAGCAGCAACTATATCAAACTCTCCTTTGCTTCTGGCATGCCCTTGAAAGACATGTGTGGCTTGTTCTCAGTAACTGTCACGTACATAAGACTTCTCTCAAAGGCTTTCTTCACCGTACTTCACGTTTTCCAATGTATTCTGTCTTTCTTTCCTTGCACTCAAGTGCCCCCCAGACAGATGCTGAGGTACAACTGACTTCTGGGCCAGCTCCCTCACAGTGAGTATTGACATTTAAAACTGCCTCCACTGACTCTGGGGCTTTCTGTAGTGTAGCAACCTGCTGCATACTATAGAAATGAACCTTAAAGGATTTTCTGACACTATTTGAAGGAGGTGGAGGTTTTCTGTTTGACCAGTAAGGTAAGCTGGGCAAAGAAATGAAGTACAAAAAATACTGATCTGGACTATAGAAGTACAAAGACTAGAAAAGTCGTTCAGTGCTGGCTCTAAATCCCACAGAGACAAGATATCATGGGAGAGCAAGACTAAGCATAGCCGGCACATGAGACTAGTAAATGAGTATTTCTTTTGTTCTTCTGGACATACATTTTTACTGAACTCTCATAGTGGCTGCCTTAAAGGCCAACCATACTTAGGAAAGTTCTGCTCTGCAGCATGCTAAAGGACATGTAGCCTGAAAATACTGATGCAACTCAGTAGACATATTTGCCTAGATGTAAAAAGGAGAAACATGAAGAATTTTTTTCTTGTACCGCCATTTTCCCACTGATGACCCTAATACAGACAGTGTGTAATGGCTTATTTCTGCTGCTCCTTGCTCTTCCTTGTTCCCCTATGCTCTATCGTGGGTCACCTGAGGGCCATGCTTAGTCCCTTTGGGGTGACATTGCCCCAGTGTGTGTTCCACAGCCACAGTCCTCTCAGGGGTGAACCCCCTTGGGCATGGAGCCAGAGACATGTCCCCAGCAATGTCCCCTGCCATATGTACTCTCCTGCTTCTCTTCCTCCATTTTCTCCCCGCTTCTTCTCATGCTTCTGGCAGCTACCACCGTTCCCTCAGCAGCATGACAGGGGGTAGAGCTGCCTGCCTGGCTCCATGGCTCCACTCCACCATGGCAGCTATGGGGTGTCCCCAGCCACCTTCAAGTGTCTGGAACCGGCTGCGACTGGCTCAGGGCAGTTGGTGACCACATGGCCCTATTGATGGCAGCTGTGGCAGTGCAGTTACCTGAGTAGCTCATATAGGGGAGAGTCTTTTACATAGATATGAACTGGGAGCATGGGGGAGCATGTTAAAAGTTTAGAGATACTGTGGGAGTGTGTGCGGTAAAAGCCAGGGCCAGAAGCGATGGAGGTGGCAGGATACCAAGTGATGTGTGCCACCGTGACCCGGCCCCATGGTGCAGAGCAGTGCTGGGGTTCATGCACGGGGGACTTTCAAAGACAGAAAGAGCTTGTAATGCCAAAGTGGGGAAGGTGTTAGTAATATTGTTTGTACTACAGTAAAAGAAAGTGGGGAAATAAGGAAGAAATGAAAGTCTTTGGATTCAGAATGGGAACAAGATGAATCCTAGGACATGACCATGGCTCAGGAATCGTGCAGGATTTGCTTCTTTGGGGGAAACAAGAGAAGGAAAAAAAAAAAAAAGGAGATGGGTATCTATGGGGGCAAAAAAAAAACACCTCTCCCTGTGTGTGCGTGTGTGGGTTGGAGGAACTAAAAACAGGTTAGGCGTTGTATTTATAAGAAAGAAATAAAACAAAGTAAAATGAAATAAAATAAAACAAAGTAGCATGGGAGAAGATAATGGGCAAGTATTACTTGGAATTAAATGATGCACAGTAAAATATGTACCATCTTTAGTTCTTAACAGGCTTATCTAGAATTAGGGACTATGATAATAACTTGGCAACTCTCTGTGTTGGTGATGGTAATATTCTGCTTGGAAAAATGTAGCATTTACTCATAATTATATTATGGGTGATTTCCATTCTGAGTGCGGATATTTATATAATGAAGAAATGTGGTGCTTTGCAGCATTAATATGATTAAATTTACTTACACATAAATAAATTAATCACTTTCCATAAGTATATTTAAAACATTACAAAATTATTGTGTGTAATTATATAACCCAACTATGATTAACAGTGTTTTAAAGTATTAAATTACCTATTTGTTTCTTGTGAAAAAATAAACAACACTGTGGCATTAGGAGTGATGATGAAGCTTCAGCTGTCTATGTATATGAGCAACTGTACACTGACTATAGTGTGATGCTGAAGGACGCAGGTTGTGTTCAGCAACACAAAGTCCAGCTGGAGGCTAGTTTCCAGAGAACCCCAGGAGCCACCACGGCGGCCATTACTGTTTCGTATCTTCATTAGTGACCCAGATGATGATAGAGAGGGCTCTCTCTGCAAGATTGTGGCCAATGCAAAACTGAGTGGAGTGTTTGATAATCCCAGATGACTGTGATATCACCGATATCACCGATATGGACAGACCGGAGATAGAGGCTGACAGGAATCAGTTGAAGTTCAGCAAAGACAACTGTGGACTCCTGCAACTGGGTAGAAATAACCCCATGCAACAGTACAGGCTGGGGCTGGCTGCCTAGAAAGCAGGTGTGCAAAAAGGGATCTGGGGATCCTGACTGAGACAGATCTGGACATAAGCCAGGAATATGTCTCATGGCAAAGGTGCCAACAGTAGCATCCAAGGTCGCATCAGGAAGAGCACTGCCAGCAGGTTGAGAGAAGTGATCCTTCCTCTCTCCTTAGCCTTGGTGAGGACTTGGAGGGCTGGATCCAGGCTTGGGCTCTCCAGTACAAAAGATATATGGACATACAGGAATGAGTCCAATTAAGGGCCTCGAAGATGTTTAAAGGACTGAGACTCTGGTATGGGCATAAATTGAAATATGAGAAATTCCCTTTAAACAAGAAAAATCCTTTTATATAGTGAGTGTTGTTGAACAATAGAAAAGAATTCCCATGGAGGTTGTGGCATCCTCCCATGTGGTATAATGCCCCAACTAGACATGGCCCTGAGCAACATGCTGTAGTTGACCTTGCTTGAGCAGGACAGGTTGGACCAATCCCAGAGGTCCCTGACAACTGGAATCCTTCTGTCATTCTCTGACTTACCATATCAAACACTGAACTTGTATGATGAGAAGTATGTACCTTCCACTTCTGACCATAACATGCTAAGTACCTTCCATTCCTAGCCTTACAGCAAGATTGCTTTATATTCTGAAATGTTTCTTCAAATCTGCTATAAGAAGCCAGACATAAGACATCAAACACAGAAGTTTGTGAAGTACAGAGATAGCATCTTTTGAGAAAATAATGTTTTTATTATTTTAATTCGGTTCCTTGACCAAGGTTAGAAGACACAAAAAAAGAAAAAAAAAAAAAAAAAAAGAAAAAAAAATTCTCTCCTAAGATCATTTCCATTTGGCATTTATAGCTTACGTAACTGAATTTGATCTGACTAAACTGGAACCTTTGAAATATAAGGGAGAAAGAAAGGAAGAAAAGAAGGAAGAAAGGTAGCAAATATACTAAAAGTCAGTGAAATTATAAATTGTGTGTATACATACAAACACAAATGCACACACACATACATATACTTTTATATATGTGTATATATACATATAAGTACATATACAAGTTGGTCGGCCTGAAAGGTTCTTAAAGATACAGACTTTTCAATATGGTCTTTTTTCCCTCAGAATGGTGATAAGTACTTTTAGAATTAGGGGGTTTTCCAAAGCTAAAGTGAACTGCGTAGGCTACCTGTTGCCCTTGTTG